GTGGCATCCCAGTTGAGCCTTGAAGTAAGCTAAGGAAGAGGGGGTGAGAAAAGAATGCATTTGAGGTAGAGGAGAGAAGAGGGACCCCTTGTGCAAACGCAGGGGGGCCAAACATGGCGGGGAACAGACGTCCTCTTTGCTTGTGGCTCTCATTTTTTTCAGTTAACATGTTATAAATTATACATTTCTATATTATATAGAATATACACATTCTATATTCTATAGATTATATAATATATTATTATATATTATTAAGTACATTAAATATATTTTAAATATGTAAATATATGAAACTATATTATAATATAAATGTATATATTGTAAAAATTAGAGATTATAAATCTAACATTCACTATCAAGAAAAACAATCCAATTTAGTAACTATTTACATGTAAATTAGTCATTTTTTAAAAACAAGATCTCCCTCCAACTTCTGATTGAGTTTTATCCATTCTCATTCCCATTTCCTCACTTATGGTTGTCGTAATTATGGATTCTTTTCTTCTTTGTATGTTTTTTTTTTGTTGTTGCTTTACTTTATTTCATAAAAGGTTTTTCTGATCTTTTTTTTAATTTGAATTTGTCATATAATGATCTTTTTACACGATTTTAATTCCATACTAGATTCTAAGTCCTATGAGGGCAGGGGTTTAAAAAAAAAAACCCCAAACCCTGCAAAATGGCTGTCCTTAAGAAATGTTTGTTGAATGTTTCTGAATGAAGAAAAACTGTGTGGTTCTTTGCCTGTCAGCTACTAGGACGCAGACTGAAAGTGTGACCTGAGGAATGAAGTCAGATTGAATATTAAAATTAAGCCCAGGGGAGGCACACTGGGTATTAATTGATTTTGTGATACCGACTCACATGTTACAAAGAAGCCTTAAAGATCCGGTGGATAATAACAGAGCAGGGGCTTAATTTTCAAACACTCCCCGGGGTTTAGGCGGCTGCTTTGGAGCCCAGTTTAAATCTTAGCTCTGCTTCCCAGCTTTAGCAAGTCACCCGACCTCCAGTTTCCTTCTCTGTAAAATCGGGGACTTGGACTAAAAGGGGGTCGAGGGGTCCTTTTAACCCTGGGCTGGCTAGATTGCACTGCAAACCCGTTCAGTGACTGCCGCCAGGCACTGCCCAGCTTGCAGCGATGAGAATTGCAGTTCCCCCAAGGCGAGCGTGAAAGCCCAGAAATTACTCCCAACCTCAGGCTATCCACCTTGCTCAGTTCTTGGGACTTTCCTAAGCACTCAGTAACGGAGTGGATGAGGGTCCAGTGTCTTAGAATTTTAGCTGGAACAGCCCTTAGAGATCGATAACGGGGCCCGCCCACCCCCGTCTTTGTTTCATAGGTAAGGAAGAGGCTGAGGTTCAGGGAAGGGGGATGACTCGTCCAAGGTTACACAGCGGTAGCGGCAGCACTAGAACCCAAGATGCTGATTTCCAGGCCAGTGCCTTTCACACTCTTAATAACCGGCTCTTGCCTCATCTGGCCCAAGGATCCCCAGGGATCCTTGCATGTGGAGTCTTACCCAACATCATATATGTGAGCGGGTGTAAGTGGTAAATTTGGAATCAGAGCGTTTGATGGACGACAAATGAGCCTTTAACCTTAGGAGTGCCAAGGTCGACTGACCGGTTGCACTTTTTTGCTCCTAACTAGTTGAGGCAGCTTCGAGCAGTGTGTTGCAAAACTGGATGCCATGACTACAGTCTCGTAGCTCCGACTGTACAGAAGGGAGGATCAGAACCTTGGGGTGCCCGCGAATTTGCTACATCAGGGTCAAGCAGGTGTGCGGCCGCTGCGACAGCTGCCGATACCTACCCACCTACCTTGGGAGTGATAGGAGGGGTGTTGCACCAGCCATCCGGCAATCTAAAGATTCGAGGCTTCTCTCTACCCTCTCGTTCTTTAGGCTCTCTCAGGAAGAAGTCTGACTGTCTTACACCCTTTGCCACCAGGAAAAGAAAGGTCAGGAGCAAAGGGATATTCAATTCAACGCAATAGACATTTGTTACGTTTAAACACTGATTATGGGCAAGGCGCTGTGCTGGACACTGCTGGGGAGACAGACTTCACGTAATAATAGTAACAGGTGGTGAGTGGATAGAACATCGGGCCTGGAGTCAGGAAGCTCTGGCTTCGAATCTCAGACACTTTCTAGTTGTGTGACCCTGGGCAAGTCGTTTAACCCCTATTTGCTCGGTTCCTCATCTGTAAAATGGGGACACACTGGAGAAGGAAATGGTAAACCGCTCCACTATCTTTTCCAGGAAAAGTCAGGTAGAGTCGGGATTCAACTGAACAACTTTATACTTTTCCTGACCAATCTAACTGAGCATTTTATTTTGATCCTGATTAAGTTATCATGTATTAGCTTTTTCTATACATGTGTTGTATTTCCTTTTTAGGGCAGAATGTTATCTCTTCTCTGTATCCTTTATCTTAGTCTTAGCACTGTACTTGGCACATAGGCTTTTGGGGTACAAGCTATTTTCTTTTTTTTTTTTTAGGCAATTGGGGTTAAGTGATTTGCCCAGAGTCACACAGTTCAAGCCAATTTCAATGCCAGAAAATTCCTTCTCCAGTTTTCAGAAGCTCTGACGGACAATGAGAGCCTAATTTTTAAACTGTGCTCAGATTGTGCCCAACTGTTTGGCTAGGGACTGCTCCCAAGAGATCTGAGCAAATATTCTAATCAGAATTTTGAATTATGATGGCTCTGGTGTCATAATGGATACTTAGATGTATATCATGCTTATTAAGTATCAGAGTAGCAGGCTGGGTAGTCAGGGAGATAAAGAACTCTCAGGAGATTAATAGGGTCACAGGACTTTCAAATCTAGGGCATATGTAGGGATGGAGTTGTTTGAATGAATCAATCAGGTCACCCCATTCCACTTCAAGTGGTAAGATATTGGATGTCTCTATGAGGTGAGAATCAACTAATCAAACTAACACTTTAGATTTAGCTCAAAATGTTCTTGGATGAACTGGAGTGAAATTGATGGAAGGCGTTTGAATTGCTTGAGGAAATTTAGTTATGGCCTGTGGGTCATGATAAAATAGAAGACCAGTTCAGAACTCAATGTATTACGGCATCTGGTGGAGACAGCTGCAAACAGGTAGTCTTCCAATGAAACCTCTGACTCCTGAACCAGTGATCATTCTTCTAGACTACACACAACCTCCTAGTAATTTCCTATTGAGGATAACTAGGTCTGTGGTGACCATGAATCTCTCACTTGGGATACTCTCCTGTACTAGGTTATCAACAGAAATTCAGAAATGTTCCAAAAGTCTTGGTGTGGTTTAAAGCTACTGCAGTTTAAACATTAAGACTTTTGGGATACCCTGAATATAGTATGCCAATTTTTTTTGTCTTAAAAAATTATTCTGCATTTAATAGAAGAATAAAACAGGCACTTCCATTTACAAAAAATAAAAAAAAAGAGGATTATCAATGAAACGGCAAATCCCTATACAGCATGCTTTTCCTTTTAAGCATGTAATAAATTTAACATGTAACTTTTTTTTTTTGGTGAGGCAATTGGGGTTAAGTGACTTGGCCAGAGTCACATAGCTAGCATCAAGTTTTTGAGGCCAAATTTGAACTCAGGTCCTCCTGACTCCAGGGTCAGTGCACCTCCTAGCTCCCTCTAACAGGGAACTCTTAAATCTGTTCTACTTGTCTGATCCTGTTCTCTTCAGTGAATTAAAATGAAAAAATGCTTCAATGACTCCACCCCCATTCCCTCACCTGCTTTGCAGTGTGGTAATCTTGTAAAAATTAGGTAAGAAAATTAGCCTTGACATTGAAGCAGCTTTTCCAGAAGGGGGTTGACCTAGCCTGCTTTATGTCACACCAGTATTGTTAGGGATAACTTTATGTCTCTAGGACAGGGATTTGTCTTCTAATAATACAAGAGGCCCAGTGCCTAGGCCCCTGACCAGTATCTGTGGAGGACAATGATGAAACACTGAAAAGATGAAGTTTATTTTGGGCTGTCCCCCAGTCCCACCCATTGTCCTCCTCCTCCCCCTCTCAGAACCTACTCCTGGGAGAAGACTGAAAAGCTGATTCGCATTGGCATCACACACAGTAAGAATCCTGTAGGACAGAAGTGTCAAACATGCATGTTGCCCCTAACACACAAAATAAATAGAAATACCATAAAACAGGTAACATTACATTTTAAAACTGGGTTAACGTGCAGCCCGAGGATCCTATGTATGGATTGATGGCCCCCGTTTCTGTTTCAGTTTGGGGCCATTGCTGTGGGACCTCTCTGTCAGCACTTGGCCACGACAGGTGGAGGGGGAGGGTGTGGTTATCTAAGTTAGTATTTCCCACATCAGGTCTCTGGGTTCTCACAGGATTAAAGCCCCCATCTCTCTCTGACATTTACAGGTCTGGGAAGGCTCAGGGCTCAATAGAGCATCTTAATGAGACCAGGTAGGGCAGGAAGCTTGTTTATTTGAGACAGAACGGGGTGATGGAATGTGAGCATATGTAAGAAGGACTTTGTAGTAGGGCTATCTCCCTAAGACTGCAAGTTTTTTACCAAAAGCCTTGGCATTCCTTATCTCCCGTTAGTTCACAATAAAGCTACCTTACTGGGCTATGCATAGTATTGCTGTACCTCTTAGTAACCCACACTAAGATATATAAGTACATATATACATATAGAAGAGTGATAGTCATATATTGTTCCCCATTCCCAGGACATTTGAATTGAGATAAGGATCAAAGCTATATCACTCTGGAATTCTGGTTTCAGTAGGCGTGAGAGTAGAAAGTTTTCTGATTTTCTTTATTTCTTTTTTTTAAACATAGGGATGTGGAAGAAAGTTTTTGGCTCTGAAATCATACAACCTGGAGAAATATGAATTTTGGGGTCCCTTTCCAGGTCGAGATCTTATGCAACTTGCTTACTGTGCAAAATCAGTCCTGGCATTGCACGTTTAAAGGAAAAAACCCTATAAAAACAAGTGAAATTCAGTCATTATTTATTTAAAAAAGTATCAAAGCATTTTGGGGGCACATTTAGTTACAAAGGCAAAGGGGAGCACAGCTATCACTTAATAACCTTTGTATAACTTGGGCCCATCCGTGTTTGCTATGACTTCAGTCTGTACAGGCAGAGAGCGTGAGGATGGGTTGTGATGACCACCTGCTCCTCAGAAGGCCTGATGGAGTCAAAACTCCAGGTTAAAACATTAAGTCTTTTCAACTGAGACTGAGTTTTTCATGATTTTCCCAGAGCCAGTCATGATATTTATTTAACTTGTGGTCTTTAGGATGGACCTGGAAGAAAAAAAAATGAGATAAGCTGAAGCAGAAACAAATCTAAGCTACTAATTTCTATTCAACACATTCTTAAAGCCTCAGTGGGAAGCAGAATTGGTGTCACACCATGGTTCACTTTTAGTCTGACTTAGTTTGGAGGCACATCTAACAGGGATAACTATAAACAGGTAATGCAGGAGAGCGAAAACAACGCTAGATGGGAGTCAGAAAGGCTGGGTTCAAATCCCACTTCTGCTGCTTATTACGTATGTGACCACAGGCAAGTCATTTAAATCCTCCTGGGCCTCAAATTCTTTATCTGCAAAATAAGGATGAACTCTGAGCTCCTGTTGGGGAAAAAGGGGAGCAACCCCATCTCAGGGCTGAGGAGGGTGCAGAAAGAAGCCATTTATGAAGACCTCACAATATTTTGTGGACGAAAAGGGAAGATGTGAGCTGGATCACAGGCCATTTAGGTGGATTCATGGCTGTACAAACAACCAAATGGCAGGAAACCTCTCAATTCAGAGGGAGACTTGAACCGTGTCCCACAGGGTTCTTTCGTCTTTTCAACACTGCTGCATAAAGCCAGAACATGCTAATTAAATTTGTGACACCCACCTGGGAAGTAAAGCTTACACACTAGATGACAGAATTGAGATCCAAAAGGATCCGATCCCCAAGGCTAGAGAGAGAAGCTCAAATCTAACATTAAATACTAATCTATTAGAGCTTAAAATGGCACTAAGGTTTTCAGTACATCCCATATAATAGGATTGAAAGGCCAAGTCTGCTCTCAGGGACTTCTCCATTTTAGAAAAAGTCAAATAGAGGATGGTGGGGATACAGTGGCGGCTCACAAGACAAAAGACCTAGGGAGGAGTTCATTGACTGAATTGTCGGTATCAATCAGCAGCATGACTTAGTTGTCTCCCCAAAATGAGAAATGAATGCCACTGTAGGTTGCATTGACTGAAGTCCACGGTGCAGTAGCCCTACTGTGCTCTATGCTGGTTAGACCCACCACATCTGGATTATTGAGATCTATTACATGAACAATGTCAACAAATCAGAGCACGTCCTGGGGAGAGGACCAGGCTAGTGAAGGGACTTAAAACCACCTCATAGGAGGAAGTAGAGGGACCCAGGGAGATTTTACCTGGAAACAAAGCAATTTAGGCAAGGGATAATAATACCCCTTAAATAATCAAAGGGCTGTTGTGTGGAAGAAGATCTAGATGGGTTCTGCTGCTCCCTCACAATGAAAAACAGGCCTCCTTGTGAGGGGAGAGGCCCCTGTCTGTCACTGCTGGGCGTGTCAGAGCACAGCGGGTTCATCTCGTTAGGGCTGCTATCACCAGTCCGGCTCACGGCTCACGGCTCACAATGGGACAGCACCTGAGAGTTCACGAAGCACCTTCCTCAGAATGACCCTCGAGCTGAGGTCACCCAAGCATCACAAGGATAATCTTATGCCCGTTTTACACGTGAAGAAGCAGAGGCAGAGAGAAGGAAAGCGACCCGCCCAAGGCCACCTGGCTAGAAGGCAGCAGAGCTGGGATGAAAGCCAAGGTCTCTGGACTCTTCCCACTTGCCACCCGTCTCTCAGGAGGCGAGAGTCAACCGGGTGAACTGGACTGCCCGGCCTACGAGGTTCGGCCATCTGGCTGAAATGAGCGGCGCTTCTTCCTCAGACACAGAGGCTCTGGGTGGTCAGGCTTCCAGTAATGAGAGGTTCCTCACCTGCTTCCACTCGTTGACACAAAAAATTCTGTACGAATCATTGCCGTATTTTCCAATCCCATGCAGCTCGATGGGGTACTTCCACTGTTTGGTCAGATATTCATCTAGAGAAAAGACTCAAGGAATAAGCAGGTTGAATAGGCCCAAGAAAAGAGAAGGCAAAAGGCCGAGAAGCCTTCCCCATCGACCTCAGCGTTCAGCATGGGATCTGACGCCCATTCATTCACTCACGCACGCACTCACTCACTCACCACACGCTGAGGCAGTGAGATCTCAAGTGAGAAGAGGCCATGCACTCTCCCCTCTCCCAATGACTGACACTTGTTTTCTAGGGCACCCATTTGACACTTTTTGTCGTCTTTTTGTGTGCCTACACTTTTGATGGGCAGCTAGGTGGCTCAGTGGAGAGAGCGCCAGGCCTGGAGTCAGGAAGACCCCAGTTCAAATTCAGCTTCAGACACATACTAGCTATGTGACCCTGAGCCAAGGCATGTAACTGTTTGCCTCAGTTTCTTCATCTGTAAAATGAGCTGGAGAAGGAAATGGCAAATCACTTCAGGATCCTTGGCAAGAAAACTCCAAATGGAGTCACGGAGAGCTGGAGGGGGACGTGACTGAACAACAATACTGCTTTTGATCTTCAATTAGACTGTAAGCACCTGGCGGGCAGGAACTTGCCCCTGACACTGCTTTGCATTCTTCCCAACAGCCTATCAAAGTGATGGACCCTTATGAAGTGCTTACTATCTATTGTTTGACCTAGTGGTAAACTGAGGCTCAGGAGAGGCAGAATGGTTTTAAAATCTCGTGTCCATGCCTGGGCTAAATGAATGCATTCCGTTAATATGATACAACAGGACGCTAGCATTTTAGCGGTGGCTGTCTTGGAAGGTTTGACCTTTTCACGTTCACTGTAAAGGAAAGTACCTGAGAATTTGATAATTGTTTTGGCTCTAAGATCGTAGAGGCCGAGAGGCTTGAGGAGATCCGATACGTCCTTCCAGTCTGCAGCTCTCGCCACCTCAGCAGAAGGGTACCTCTCCAGAAACTCCCAGAGCACAGGGATTGCCATTTTGCCTAGACAAAAAGAGCAGCTGGTGAACACGGTCACTCGAGAAGGTGGGCTTCCAGCTCACCGGACTTTTCTGTTGCTTTATCTCTCATTCAGAGATTATGAAGCTCAAAGCAGATTTACTTTTGGTTGGAAAAAAAGATTTTCTGGGGTTGAACCTTTATGCTCCTGGGCAGGTTTTTACTGATGATACCCAGAGAAATAGGGTGATCTGGCCACAATCAGCCCTCTCTGCTTGACCAGGCTAGGTGAGGCTGCCTCTACCAGTCATTCCTGAAACCAACAACTACCTGTACTAGAAAACTAAGACTTGTTGGCCAATAGCTTGAAACATATAAAAGTGATTAGTCACTAATGTGATATGAGTTGTTGAAGGACACATACTAATTATACCTTCCCCCTCCAAGTAACAAAATGATGAAAACATTGACAAAAACAAAACAAAATAAAGCAGAAATGCCAAATGATATTAAGGAACTTCTGGATAGAAATATGCACAAGTGAGATGTGGGACTTCTGGCATTCTATCAGAGTGAGTGACCACAACTAAGGTCAGTTTCCTTGATCACAAAAAGAATAACAAATGCAGCAAATACAACTGAAGATAAAAACAAAAAAAGAGAGAAAAGGACAGAAATCTTTAAAAGAAAAATCTTAAAGGAAAACTAACAGAAAGTCAAAAGAAATAAAAGAAAATGAGAACTCTCTAGAAGACTCTTCAGAACAAGACTGACATCACCATCCTCTAGTTAACAGACTTACTGTAAGAAGGTCCAGGGTTGTTAAGAATCCCAGCAAGCCCTCTAACCCAGAGAGTACCCTGAGATGCCATTACGAGGCCAATGATAAAAAGAAAGGCCACATAGACACTATGATAGTCATAGCAATACTTTTTTGTAGTGTTGAAGAACTGAAAATAAGGTAAATGCCCATTGACTGGGAATGGCTCCGCAAGTTGTGGTACATGGATGTAGTGGAATATTGTAAAAATGTAACTGTAAAAAAAAACAAATCCAATGACTGTCGGGAAGCACGGGAAGAACTGATGCAAAGTAGGCAGAACCAGGAAAACAATTTACACAACAACCCAAACTATGGACGCGGAATGAATGTACAGCAAAATAAATAATCAAAACTGATTACAGTGAGACTGTAATGACTAAGCTCGTCACCAAAGGAGAGAGAGGAGACAGTACGTCCCCTGCTTCTTTGCAGGGATGGGGAGTGATAGGTGCAGGACGCTATAGATGATGTAGGACTTTTTTCAAGGTGTGAGTCTTACTCACGCTTATTCTTACTTTTCTCTTTTTATCACCAAGCACTGTAGATATCAAGGGAAAAAAAGCTCAAACAGTCTCTGCTCTTTTATGGAGCTTGGATTCTAATTGGGAAGGTAACACAAAGGTTGTACGGGCAACCCAGGGGTCTTCGGGGTGCAGTGGCAGGCCAGATGACTAGAAATAAGATTGTTCGTGGAATTCAGGAAGAAGAACGTAAGAAGTGACTATATAGGAAAGATGACAGAAAATCTCACTGAATCCCTTCTAAGTAGAATGGCTCTGAGACAGAAAAAAAAGGAAAGATGGAAGAACAAATGAGAAAAAATATTTTAGAAATGAAGAAACTTGAAGAGCCCAAGAGCTCAACAAAGCAAAGCGACAGATGACACAGCTTGGGGACACAAGCTGAGAATGAATGGTTTCCAAGAAAAATGTGAAGAAACAGTTTGAAAGGATGTTGGAGGGTTACAGCTCCATTAATGACTAAAACCTAGTAGGTTCTCTCCAGAAGCAGGAAGGTATCTTGGTGAAAAAGGAAGAAGGCATTTTCACCTGCAATCTGAAAGATGGAGAGAGGGGCCTCAGATACCACTGGTTCAAACCCCTCATTTTAAGAATCAGGAAGCTGAGGCCCAGAGAGATTTTTGCTTGCCCAAGGTGGCATATCTGGTTGGTGGCTGGGCCAAGCCCAGGAACCAGGTCTTTGCACTATGCTTCTATTAATACAGAGCTACATTAGTCTCACTCACCTGAAGTCCTATTGAGAAATATGGTAGCGATGAGGAGCTTCCATGGGTCATGAAAGAGTGTTTCTTGGACAAGATTAAAAGGGGATCGAGGTGGAGTCCACTTTTTAAACAGTTTCCGTCGAGGTGCACTAAGGGCTAAACAAATACATCATGTCAATGTTAGATACTCAAAGTGGCCTTAGAATCCAACTCTTATATTCCCATACCTTCTTTGTTGTATTTGTTGGAGAAATACTGGCTGGTTTTCCTTCTGTCCACTTTCGTTTGTTGGATGGTGTTTTCTGGAAAGATAATTAGCACTGGATGGAGTGCGGGAGCCGCAGTCAGAGAGACCTGAGTTCAAATCCCACCTCAGACACTTTTTAGCTATGTGACCTTGGGCAAGTCATTTAATTTCTATCTGCCTCAATTTCCTCAACTGTTAAATGGGGACAATAATAACACCACCTACCACCTAGGATTGTCCTAAGGATCAAATGAGATAACATTTGTAAATATGTTGCAAAGTGCTGTATAAATGCCAGCTTTTAACATTATCTAGAAAATTCATAATTACAGTAAATATTTTGGAGCAGAAACAATGCAAAGGGGAGGCAAACTGCCCAAAGCACTAATGATGACTTAGCTACCATATGGGCACAGGAACCTGCATAGCTATGGTGATTGAGCAAATCTATCTTCCTGAAAGGTTTAAATGCTGAAGGGAATGACCCCAAAGGAGCGACTCAGCAGTCAACAGTACCTGGGCAGGCCTCTTAGCTACTGAAAGGTAGCTGGTAACTTTTACAATGTTATCAAAGCTCTCCCGAGAATGTTTGAGTATCTATAAAACTCATACATTTACCTAAATCCCTACTTAATATGAGCAAGAGCTGACAGTCAAGTCCTCTCATCTGAAGTTTAGCTGCTGGTGGTAATACCCTCAATAGCAGAGCACAGGTAACATGTTCTAGTTCTAGTCTCAGAATCTCAGAGCTGGAGAAGGCCGCTGAGTCTGTCCTGGATCTGAACAAGGATTCATTCTACAAAACCCCTGGCACATGATTCAGTTTGGTGAGGCCCACAGGGGATTCTGCTCGACCCACTGGCATTAACTGTAGAGAATCTGGGTCACCTCCGCACACCACAATGGGAGGAGGCCCGGAGTGTGCAATGAGGTGTTCACTGGTGTCCTAATGAATAAATAAACTACTACAGAAGTGCTCAAACGGAGTCACTTTGAAGGGATGATGTGTGGAATCTCTTCTCCACTGAGGCATCCTAACCGTCAAACCACTGTTAAGCTCTGTTCTCCATATCAAAACGAGACTGCAAATTAGAGATGACCCACATTATGACAGTCATCAATTATTTAAAGGAACATTTCAGAGTGGTTATATTAGAAAGTTAAAGAGCAAAATTCTTCACGATCTATAATATAGAAGTAATGTGCAGATAAAACACAGTATACATCAAGGTACAAAGAATGGCAGAGAAGAAAACTGATTTAGTGGTTCATATAGAATAAAATGAGGCATGAGACCCCCAAATCCTAGCCCAGGGAGTTGGCTAAGAGTGTGGAAGATGGAGAGGAGGGAGAGTTGGTGGCCATGTTCTACTCCCTGTTAGTATTTATAATCCTCAGAGAATGTGGCACAGCCCACTTGGGAATCCCCAGGAGCCACTGGGGTGGGGGAGGTGGCAGGGGCGGTTACCTGCTTAGACATCCTCCAGGGAATGATTAAAAATGGTAACTTATCTAAATATGAATATAATGGGCAACATTTGTCCAAGACTGTGTTTTTTTCCCAGAATGTCAAAATGAAAATCCAGTCACAGTCAGTTATAATGTGTAAATATTTTAAATTATATTAAGAAAAAAATCCACAAAATAGTGATCTACTCATTGGGCATCTGTGTTACAGAATGTTTTTGAATTTTCTGCAGATTCTTAAGTTCTAATCAATGCCCAGGCACAGCGTACAAAATTCTGTAATGGTAAACCTTAACAGCTCCCCCAAGGAAATTTCAGCAGTTCTTGAAAACTTAAGTATACCTTGAAATGTCGTCACAAAAGTCAAATCTTTTTCATCCTGGGAGCTGCTACTGTCTATTTCAGAACTGCATTTTAAAATGTCAGCTTGCAAATGCTCCTTTTCTTCCCCAGTTTCTATAAAGGTCCTTTCAGATCCTACAGAAGTACGCCCACTCTTTTCTTTATATTCTGAAACTTCATTGGCACATAAAGTATTTTCTGTACATGAAGCTCCTTGTGCAGTAGGCATTTGGGAATGGCAGCCTGAAGCCAATACTTTCTCTATCAGTTCCTTTTCTTCTTCATCTGTCACCTTTATATGCTCATCACTCATTCCATCATCAGAACAGCACAGGGGTCTCTCCAGGTGATCATCATGTGCACTGCAAACAGCTTCTTCACCAGATGCTGCCCTTTTTTGTCTCTGAATGCAGCCAGAATGACCTTTCCTACCCCTTTTCTTAGCTTCCTTAATGTGACTCCCTTTCGCAGCTGCTGCCTTTCCTGTGGGCTTTTTCAGATTCTGAGAGCCAATGACATCAGCACCCTTCTGGAGCCTCTGGTGGAAAGTGAAGCAAAACAGTTCACTATTCTGGTCCTGCACCTGTGAACCCCTACTTGGGGGAGGAAGTGCATCTTTCTCTTGCCTTCGAAGCGTCCTAAGCTTCTGCTTTGGGCTCAAGCAGCTCGGCTCCACCTGGAACTGTGCCCCTAGAGCTTCCACACTGGGATGTGGGGGTCCCGATGGAGGGTTTCTCTTGGGAGGGGCCCGGAAGTCAAAATCCTCTGGCTTAAGAGAAGTCTCTCCACTTTTGTGAAGGTAACATGCAAGTGAACTTTTGGATCTGAGCTTCACTCCTTCAGGGCTAGAAAAGGAAATAAAGAGAACTGACTCACTTATGATTATGAGCAACTTAAGAAGAGAAATGAACCGAATTTGAGATAGTTAATCAAGCATTCCCATTTCAAGACCTGTAAAAGGCATTTAACTTTTACTGTTGAAAATGACTGAACTTTGATTTTTGAGTATTTCCATTCAAGATAAGGGGTGGGGAGAAGGGAATAAGCATTTATATATAGCACCTACTGTGTGCCAGGCACTGTGCACTTTATGAATACTATCTTATTTGATCCCCACAACCCTGGGAGGTAGATGTTTTTATTATTCCCATTTTACATTTGAAGAAACTGAGGCAGATGGAGGTTAAGTGACTTGCCCAGAGTCGCACAGCTAGTATGTATGTAAGTGTCTGAGGTAGGATTTGAACCCAGGTCTTCCTGACTCCAAACACTCCATCCCACTGTGCCACTGAGCTATCCTAGCTGATTTCAAAGATCTCAAAGTATTTTATAATACAATAATGTAAGCCTAACCTTTGCCTTACAACATAGGCAAAATAAAGAAGCAGAAAGACATATTATTAGACCACAAAATTTCTGTTCTTGTATTTATGACCTGCCTAGGCACATCACATACTTGGTTCTAAATAAATGTTTGCTGAGTGAATGATCTAAATTTTTTTTTAAAAAATAATTAATTGATTTTTAGTTTTCAACATTCACTTCCATAAGATTTTGAGTTTTACATTTTCTCCCCCCCCACCAAGATGGCATGCAATCTGATATAGGCTCTACTTATACATTCATATTAAGCATATTTTCCTATTAGTCATGATGTAAAGAACAATTAGAGCTGATGAGAGGAACCACAAGAACGAAGCAATAAAACAAAACAACAAAGGAAAGGAGAGCAAATAGTATGCTTCCATCTGCATTCAGACTCCACAGTTCTTTCTCTGGGTGTGGATACCAATTTCCATCGTGAGTCTTTTGGAATTGTCTTAGATCCTTGTATTGCTGAGAAAAGCCAAGTCTATCTAAGTCAGTCATCACACAGTGTGGCTGTTAACTGTGTACAATGTTCTCCCGATTCTGCTCATTTCCTGACTGAATGATTTATGAGACATCTTATCTAGTTTGTTTACCTGATAAAATAAACATCATATTTTCCAGCTGTTTTTCCAGATAATCTTTGCTTCACAATTCTTTCCCAACCACAAGGAATAGACTTAGAGCACTCCATGATAGTGCCACCATTGCACTGAGCGCTGGCATTAGGTTCCTGTAACTGGAGAGGTATTTCTTCTCTTTCTTCATCATCTCCCATTTTTTTCAACTCCTGGGATTTAAATTTCCTTGCTGAAAGAGAAATGACAAATTACTGGGTTTGCTCATTCAACTGGGAACATGAATCGGTGTTTATTTTGGAGAAAAGTAAGAACCCCAGTGGTTATTTGGATAAAAAGAAAGACTCAAGTTAAGGGCTTGTCTATGTTGGAAGACTCATCTTCGTGAGTTCAAATCTAGCCTGAGACACTTACTAGCTGTGTGACTCCTGGGCAAGTCACTCAACCCTGCTTGCCTCAGTGTCCTCATGTGTCCAACTCTTCATCAGTGGCAAGTTGGACACTTGCCTAAGGTTGCACAGCTAGTGACTGGCAGAGCCAAACTTGAACAGTTCTCCAGGACTCTTTCCACTATGACCAAGCTTTGGCTGATTTTAAGAAATGCCAACGTTTTACAGTTGCTCTTTAAGCCAACTTTATTAGAAACCTTTTCAGCTAAGCATGGAATCATGTACCTTTTCTAACCTGGATAGGACCTCAGTTCATTTGCAGATTAATAAGCAAAACCTCTAATATAGTGATGTTTCTCCCATACCTGTCTATCTCTAAAAAGTTTACTTCACGAAGCCATTCTTGGATGCTGGAATGCAAGAGTGCTCTGAACGTAACAAAAAACTGAAAATGAAAAGGGCTTAAAGTGTTACAGTGGAAAAAACAAACAAACAAACCAGTACTGGATTAAGTCAGGAGACCTAGATTCAAGCCCCAGCTTTGTGACCTTGGATAAGTCTCTCTTTTCTAGACTATTTCATATGAAAAAGTGGGATGAATTTAAATGATCTCTAAGGTACCTAACAATGAATCTAAGACAAAGCTGGACCCAGTTCAAACCATCTGTAACACCTTCCTAATATTCTCCCCTATTTCCCCATCTTTTTGACTCCTATAGCATAATTTAGCTCATAATTATATGACAATTCACACGTAATTACAAATACCAATGGCTACAGTTTCATAGTTGCAAAACGCAGAGATTAGACTACATGAGCTCAAATTCTCCCGCATTCTAACAGCCAGCTGTCCCCAGCCCAAGTGCCAAGGCCTCTCCTCTAAACCACGTTGACCTCCTAATTCCTAAGTCCTCTATCAGGAACTCACACCTCCTAGCAACACTGGTCCTTTCCTGGTTTCAGATTCGAAAGCCGTGTCCGGCCCAGGTGACGCCGGTTAAGGGGCAGGGACCGTACCAGCTCCTCCTTTCTCTGCAGCCCCTGAAGCCTGGGCACCAGGGCAAGCACGAAGGTGGCCGGACTCGACGGAAGGGGCGGGCCGTACCAGACGCCCTGGGGTCGGGCGAAGCCGAAGAGGAAAGCGAGCCCCGCCACCAGCGAGCCCAGAGAATTCATCCGTCACCCTGGCTGGGCTGCGAAGCAGAAAAGGGAGGAAGCGGGGAAGAAAGGGGGCAAAAAGAGGAAGCTCTAAGTGGGGCCGGACCGCTTGGACGGAGGGGGCGGGGCGGGGTAGCTGTGCAGCCGCAGGGGCCCGGACCCACCCCTCCGCCTCCAGCCTAGAACCCCCGAGCTGAGAAGTAGGAGAGTCTGCCTCTTAGTTCATTGTCACTCTTCTCTCGGGGCTCCTGGGCGGCGCCATCTTAAACGCCTTTGCCGGTCACATGATTAATGGCGCCCGCCTCCCATCTCCCGCCAATTATTTGTTCACTGCGCAAGCGTAGGTAGCCTCGGTGCCTAACGTCCAGGACCCACACATGCGCAATTGCAGCTTGACGTCTCTTAACTCCCTTATACGCACAGCGAGTTCATTACGTAGGGAACGTTCACCGTGTGCGTATGTGCGTGTATCTACGTCTGCGCGTGTATAAGTACGGCTGGATGGATGGATGTATTTCAGAAGGGGCTTCGCCTCCTGCTCTATTATCTTCTTTTAATTTTCTGCACTCTCCCTCAGATAGTTCCTAACACATGCGCAGTTCAGCAAGCCCTTATCCCCCAGGCGCCCTCGGAACTTCTGTGTAGTCCTAGGTAGCCAGCAGGACACATGGCGCATGTGCGTGGCCCTAGGTAGCCCGTGGAACTCACGGCGCATGTGCGTTGCCCGGGGTAGCCCAGGTAGCCAAAGTGACTTCCCGACGGGCGCCTGCGGCTTCGGACGGGCTGAGGGACCCAGAGCCCGGCCTGGGGTCCGAGGGGAGCGGCCATGAGGGCCGTCCTGACCTGGAGAGATAAAGCGGAGCAGTGGTGAGCCGAGGGCAGGCCCAGAGCGGGAGCGGGAGCCGCCGGAGCCGGAGGCGGTTGGGAGGAGATGCCTTGGTTGCCTAGGACTCCGGTCTGGATCCGGGCCTCGGGATGCTGAGGGGAAGGGGGAGAGGAGGGAGGGAGGAGGGGGTAGGGGCAGAGCCGAGGGCTCGCCAGCTCGACCCTCCTCTCCTCCTTGACCGGTGCTCCCTCCCTACCCTGGGCCTCAGTCTCCCCATCTGTAAAATGAGGGCTTTGGACCAGGTGCCCCCTCCCTTTCCTAGACCTCAGTCTCCCCATCTGTAAAATGAGGGAGTTAGACCAGGTAACCC